TTCAAAATCGTGTCATTCGATTGTTACTCATGGAATATAGTCTCGACTTTGGTTTTGCTTTATCGAAAAGGTCGAGATTAGATTAAGAGAAATATGATTAATTTTTTAAATCAAATGGAGTTCTGTTAAGGATGTTTTATTTCACGAGCGCTATCAAATAAAGCAGCATGTAACACTGATTCGTTAAGAATTTTAATTCGGATAGCGTTCTGGTACAAACTCTTGCATAAATGTACGGGTATTCTTTTAGGATAATATAACTTAATTTGATTTTTAATAAATGCTTTCTTAATTTTTAAAAGTTTCCGTAAAATAATGAGAAGTCGAGAAAACAATTTAGAGAGACATTCTTATACCCGTTTCTTAGGTTCGAGAAGTTCTGAATATGGCAAAGTACGACGCAAATGAAAATACCAGAATATTAGAATTCGCTTTTATAAGGCAAAGTCAATAGAGATTCTGATTTCAATCAGCTCCATACCAAATTGGAAAGGAGAATAGGTTGAATCGACATTGGTGAATCTGTATCTCTGAGTACTGTCGATGCAAGTTATTAACGAGAAATTGTCAACAGAATCACAGAAAATGAATTTTCGATATTACTGAAGTTTGACGACATCTTATATCTTAATTAAAGAGAGAATCTGTTGAAATAAGTAACCTCCAGTTATAATCGACTTTTTCCAATACACATACAAGGATGATTTCATGAGAAGCGTATCTCAATATGGAGATTTATTCTTTTAAATACATTTCAAATATTGGATCGCTTTTAAATCATTGATAGTTGACAACAAGTCTACTATCAACCTGAAGATTGATATGTGTGCATACAATTTCAAGATTCAGATCTTTTTTTCAAAGAAACATCAACAAATGCACCGAGCCTCTCCCATTCTGGATGCGTTTTATTTAAGTAACACTTGTTTAAAAAATGGCTTTCGATTTCAAATAGATAGTAAGATGAAATTTACTAGAAGTACTGTAACATGTTAGAAAAAGATGCTTCTTAGTAATAATTTTTTCACTCCTGATTCATATTTTAAAGGGTAACTTAGTAAAAAATATTTCAAAAACTAACGAATGATGATGCATTCATGAAAATGTAGAAACTTTTCTTTTAGATGAAGAGTGCGTTCTATGGTGCAACGAATGTTTTCAGAGCCAAAAAGAATAATTTTAATCCTAGAGGAATTCACTCTTCATAGCTCCATAATTCTACGGAATACTTTCTTCTGAATTCAAAAACCGTCTCTGTATCTAACGGATAGAAAGCGTTCTGAACCATTTCATGACACAAAAGAACTAGTATCTATTCATTCTGCTGAGAAACAGCCGGATAGGACATCGTCGAAATGAGATCGGTTTCATTAACTTTCTCTTGAGAAACGTTTGAAAATGGACTTTCTTCTCTGATGAACGCTTTCATCTAAATTCAATGTTTCCTTTGATTCAAAAATGGAGGCTCTGAAGTACAACAACATGATACTGCTACTCAGAATGGTGGAACCTTCAACGAGTCATACTTTACAGTTGATGGTCTTATATAAAAAATAATATTTTTTTGAATAATGACTTGAGCTACAAAATATTGAAGCATGCCGTTGGATAGGATTCGTCGAGTTACATAGGAGTCGATCTTTTTAAAAAATTATGTTTGTAACTATCTTTGAGAACTCTTATAGTGAATCTAAATTTAGGCAATAATGACCAAGAATGCGTTCTAGAAAAGTTACCTTTATTTTGAGAAGAGAAGACATTCCGAGAAAACTGGAACATTTAAGAACACATTCCATACAATTTTTTTTTGTTTGTGCGTTTTATTGTTACACTCTGAAGTGCTTAAAAAGGAAAAAAAAATAATGACGAAGAAGAAAAGGGAAGATGAATGAGGTTAGACATCGTGATTCTCCTTGTCATAGACGTGGTCTCCTTCTCGCTTCCTTAAGTTAATTTAATTTATATTGTTATTCGGGGGGGGGTGAGGGGCATGACACACAATTTTTATTCATACGCAAAGTTAATCCATTTAATTAGTAAAGTTTCATGCTTATTTATCATTTTCTTTACTCTATTTAATCTAAAGAATTGTCCTAACGAGTCTTGGTCCCTCTTCCTAAACTGATTCCGATAGAAAATGTCTTCTAAAAAACTTGACCGATATAAATCTGACTTGTACATATTCTCCAGTCTCTTCTTAATATATTTCTGCACGTGGAAAGTGAGTGGTTTTTCATTTGTTACTACTAATAAATCTTTTGCTTCTACATACGGACACCTATGTACTAATCTAAGACCCACTCGGAATTTCCTATTCAGAGCATCTTGTTGTGTCTTCGGGAGAAGGGGATAGACAGGAAATATCCATGCCAAATGGGGAAAGACATATGCAAAGAAACATTGTCTTAAAACTTGTTTTGTAATCTTTCTACCCTTTTTCAGCCATTTCAGTTTAGCAAGCGCCTTTTCAGCTTTTTCAAGACATTGATCAACCGTAGGTTTAAGCGACATTTTATTCGTCCACGTAAACCCTAAGTATTTAAAGGCATTTACTATCTCTATTTTATGCTCCTGCATATATATATTTAATTGGGGTTTTTCTACTTGAGTGTAAAAAACCTGTCCAAGTGTCTTTTGCACATTGATCGGCTGTTTTCATTTACTTGCATATTCCGCTATTCTAGTACACACCTTCGAACCTTCTTTTTCCAGAAATTCAATTGTTGAGGACAGTTTCTTCATAATGGGCGCCTTTACCAATATGCTTAGGTCATCAGCATAAATATGTCCTGGGTGCGCACCTGCACAATCATTTAAATCACTGTGGTACACTATAAAGAGATAGGGGCTTAAACTGCTACCTTGTGGTAATCCAATATCAATTTGGAATCTGTCTGATATTTCCTTTCCAAAGGAGATATAAGCCTGACGGTTCTTTAACCACGAAAGGGTCATTTTCAACAACTCTAAAGGCATTCCCAGTCTAGATAGTTTTACCAACAGGCCAGCATGCCACACTGTGTCATACGCTTTTTTGAAATCCACATACAGAGCGAGTGTAGGCATATTCGCCGCAAGACTGTTCTTTATTTCCTGATATATCGACAGAACTCTAGTAGTTAAGAGTCCTCCCGGTCGAAAACCTGATTGCTCAGTCGAAATAGACTTGCTCCTTCCGCCCAGAACTTGACTCTTTCAAGTACTACTTTTTCAAATAATTTCGAATGCGTCGGTAGGAGGGAGATAGGTCTCGTCTGATCGGTTCTCGGTACACCGGCTTTTAATTTGTTTAAGGTTACCACTTTCGCCAGTTTCCAAAACTCTGGGTACTGACATCTTTGCAACCAAAAATTAAAACACTTCGTAAGGCATTGAACATATGCTGGTGGGAGTATTTTGATCATATAATTAGAAACTTCATCGTACCCGGATGATTTCTTATTCTTCAGCTTCTTAATCAACTTTTGCATTTCTAGTACAGAGATCGGTTCCAGCTCGAGCGGAGCGGAACATGTAATATCATTCACAATTTGCTTATACTCCTCTTGCACTTGGAGATCATGTTTATCATCCTCGTTTATGGGAGGAGCTTTAGCTTGTTCTGTATAATAATCACAACGTGCTCTCGTTATCTCTTGATGATCAACTATCGTACCTGGACCAACAGCTAGTTTTGATAGAGGGAGTATTTTCGGCTTATAGATCTTTGATAGATGAGACCAAAAGGCATTACCTCGTGTATCATGTGCTCCTTGTATGGCCGAGAGAAAACTTTTCCAACGGTCTGATTTATATTTGCTTATTTCCTTCTTAACCAAACTAGTCATTATTCTTAACGACTTCCTGTAATCATCGTCAATTATGCCACCACGTTTTTCCTCGCTCTATAGTATTTATTCCGCACTTTTCGAACTTCTCTCAGCAAACCAATTATATACGGTGAAAGAGACGGGCGGTATTTATCTTTATATATCCACCTAGTTATTCTATTCTTCAAGGCGGCTAAGAAACGAACATAATTCTGATACCAACTATCGGCATCTTGCGTGTTTGATTCGTTTATCCAAAACTGTTCCAACAGACTCAATACTACCTCAAACACTTTCCAATTCACTACTGGAAAGTAGCCCTTCATTTGAATACCTATTTGGTCACTTTTCATGAACATAGGCCAATGATCGCTTGATCCTAATAACAGTGTTTCTGCTTTAGCATCAACAACATTCGTAAAAATAAGGTCAATATGTCGTGTAGATCGTTTTGATGAATTTTTTGTTCCAGGTACAAAAAACAAGCTCATTTTCTCTATCCATCTTTTCAGCAGCTGACCTCTCGCATCGGTGAAGGGACTATCCCATTCATATGCTGAAGCATTAAAATCTCCAGCTAGAACCTTTCTTCCTGTTATGAAAGGTGATAATTCGTCTAGATTTCGATTTTGGCAGTGAGGCCAATAAACTCCAATCACCCTAACCGGTTCAGTTAGACCATCAATATCTACTATCACAGTGTTCTCTGTTTTTAAATCGATTCGGGTCACTTTAAGGTGTTTTCCAACCGCAATCACCACACCATCTTTACTATTTTTACCGATTTGATAAAAGATATTAAAGTGTGGGATACTAAAACTGTTCCACAGTTCTCCAACTTCTGTAAAAATACAGATAGAACTATCGGATTTAAAAACTAAATCAATTGATTCTAAGGCTCTTGTTCCCCATCCTTGAACATTATATACAAGAACATTTAGAGGCGACTGTTGGCATTATGTTGGGCTTTCTTTCTTTTCCCAACGGTTCAAAATCCCATTTAAGGTATTTCCTGAGTACCATTCACTCATAATCTCAGTGATAAGTTGTACTATGCTAGAAGAGAAACCCCAACCTATGACTTTTTGAATCACGGTGCCTATTACATCATTCGAGGATGAACAATATGGAGAAATTTGAGAGGAAAAAAAGGGAGAAACATGAGCGTTCAACAAGGACAGGTTACTGTTACTAGACATCAGTTATTTCCATCGACTGCTCGAAGTCCATCGGAACGTTGTTACCTTTGTTACTTGATATTGTTGTTGTTTTTGTTTGATTTGTAGTTCTATTAAGAAGAATTGAAGGTGGTGTTGCTGAGATTGATTTTGATTGTTGTTGATGATGATTGATGTCCATAGAAAGTGAATTAACTTTCACTGTAAGATCATCTTTAAATTCTTCAAGTTGTTGAGCAATCTTTTGTAGAAGGGTTTGTTTATTTTTCTTTTCTAAGGATGCATTAATCATTTGTTGCATAATATTTGCTAAAACAGAAATAGCTTGTTTATTTATTAAGGATTTTTTTTTCTAGTAAAATCATTTGTGTGACCTGGTTATCGAGTTTTAATTCCATTCTACGTGTACTATCTAATACCATTTTCATTTGTGTAACCAGTTCACTTAATTGATCTGTTCCTTGAAAATTTTGTAAATTACTTGGTGCTGCTTGTACATCTGTCCACGCTGACCGTGGTTTGTTTGGTTGTTTAATTTTAAGATTAAGTGCTGGATAATCTAAATCACCAATACTACCTGTACCACCTTTATGATCCACCTTGACCTGATTTAACCATCCATCCTTAACTGCATGATTTACTTCTTCCTTTAAAGTACGACGATAATGTGAAACTACAGGACATTCCGTACTAAGAGAAGCATGTGCACCTTGACATTGAGCACATAATACTACTTTTTGACATGTATGATTATGATTCCATGGATCTAAGCATTTTCGACAGCGTGGACCTAATGTACATTGATATCTTGTATGACCTAACTCCCAACAATTATTACAATAAGTCATTTTAAGACCAGGTATAAATGCAGTTATTGGTAAGAGTACATGACCAATAGCTAAACGACCAATATTTAATACCTCTTCATATTCATTTTCATCTGTAATACAAAATCTAAGATCATCTGTAGATCAAGGACGATGATAATTGATTTTTGAAAATTGTATAGCTGATTTAATTGATTTTGATATTTCCTGAATAAAAAATTCCCTTGGTAAATTCGTTGGTACATAACGTAAAACTACTGCACATGAATCAGGTAAAACACGAGGTCTTTCTATTTCAATATCAATTTTATTCATAACACTTGGCCACTTACAATTCCAAAGCAACAAAAAATCCTTCTTTGATATAACACTAATTTTATAACGATTTTTTCCTGCTGGGACCAAAAGGGAAAAATCACCAAGTGATCGAGCTGATTGTTGTTGTATCAGATGACGAATCCATGAAGCCACTTCCATGGCTGATGGTAATTTTTGTTGTTGAACAGGATCATCATCACGATTAAATTTTAAAAAAAGCATGGTAATTTATTAGATATTGCATATTTTAATTGAGCTGAAGAAAAACAAAATTGACGATCAATTGCTAATGATGATGATGATGGTGTTGTTGTTGTTTTATTATTTGAATTAAAATTTTTTGGTGTTGGTTCATGTGAACGAGATTTTTTGGATCGATTTTGTAATTGAAATTCAGGAGAGTTACTTTCATCTAATGGTCGTCGTGGTGTCGATGAAATTTGATTACACGTTGTTAATGGTGGTGGTGGTGGTGGAACAATTGTGTTATTATGTGTTTTTTTCGTTTGATTATTGATCAACAGATATTGATTTTGATCGGACGATGACGATGATGCGATTGGCTTATCAGTTAATCGCGACAGATGTCGTGCTGGTTCATGAGTTGGACCGGGAGCTGAGGATGGAATGGATGAAGACAATGAACGATGAGTCATCTTACTATTTCTCTGATCATTTAATTGTTCGTTCAATTGTTGTTTCTTATACATCTCTATCACAACCTGCATAAATTGAACAGCACCATTTATTTGTTTCAACCAATAATCATAATCAGCCTGTTTCCTAACCGCTTGTAACCCATCAAACGGAACTTGTTCAGCGGCCATAGGCCTGTACGAGTAACAGAAGGAAAAAAAAATATATAGTTAGTTACGAACGAAAGAGAAAACGTCTTATCGCTACGTATGTAGAAGGAAAAGTGACATTCCATACAATATGTGATACACTCTTAACAGTTTCATTTTGGTAAACTTTACAGTTATGTTAGGACATTTTCTTTTTTTTAACAAAAAGGCCTTTAATTTGATGGAACGCCCTCTTCCACCTTCTTTCAAGCAAGTATTTTTCATCAGTATGTAGATGATGCGTGTTTATTTATGAATTTTTTATTCTATTATCATAAAACGAAAACTTTATTGCCTGTAATACGATGTATGGACTAGAGTTCATGCATCAAACTGAGTAATAGTACTAGAACATGTTGATATCGATTCTTGATGCAAGAAAAATGTGAATATCTAGTAAAAGCGATAAAGAATATCAGCAGTCAGTTTAACTGCGAAAACGTTGGATAATCATGAATTTCTTCAAAAAAGTGCTATATATTTTCGAGCAGTTTAAGATACATTAATCCTGAACTCGATAATGACAAAAGTTTGTTAAATATGATGATGGAAACAGGCATGTCGTTTTTTAACAATCTAATTTCATGTCAGAAGGCGAAAAACAAGTTTTATTGGCTTACCCTTCTTTAAAGAAGATTTTATACTTTCTTTTTATTTTAACAACAACTATAAAAAGTTCCATTGGCTTCAACAACAAATGTTGGTTTTCTATGCTTTACAATTGTGACATGAACGAAAACGATCAGTTTTTTTATTGAAGACTATAATCATATTCGAAATGTTTATACATTGAGAAGTGTGGCCAGAGATTCGGTTCTTTTTCTTATATTCTTTTCAAACAGAAAGAATTTAGCTATTATCAACATATAAAAATTTTTAGACAACAGAAATTGTGAATTTATTTTTATGAAAAATATCAACTCACTTCATCTTTCACCAAATACTTAGAATTTTTTTTTCCTATACATGAGTCATGCAATCAACGATATTTTACATTGCAGAAAATATTGCGTGCATAATTTATTCACTAAGAAGATCTTTGTTTCATTTTATTTGCAGAGCAAGTTTGACGACACGGAATATCTGCTGCATCATAGACTCAAACTACTGTTAGAACACCATGGACTTTCCATTTCACAATTAGGTGAGTATGAATTTATTTCAATTATATTTATTTGGATAAAAGCACTCGTTGAATTCTTCCGAATTCTTTTGAACACAGACCTCTCTTATAGTTGAAAATAAGTTGATGCATTACAGTTTTTTTCGAATAGAAAAGAGGAAAAAATACGCCACTCTATGTCCAAATCTTTGTTTATATAGCACCAAAAAGTTATGACGTTGCTTTATTAAATTTGATCAATATATTTATATTGTTCTGGTATTCACATTGTTTGATTAATTTGATGAACAGTATCTAACTAACACGGTTGATCTCAACGTAGCATTGAAAATAAGTAAACAATTTCTTACAGATCATTATTGAACACTAACACCTTTTCTGACATTAGAATTAAATTCGTTGCGAATCAATCCTATATGTTATCGTCATAAAACTATATGCTGTATATGCACCTTAAAATATAAGTTTTTTTTTTAAGTCGGAAATATCTTTACCATCGAAATTTACAATGATCCAAGTTGAACAAACACCAAAATGAATCAATTTTTTCTAAACTCTTGAAGAAAATTTTCTTGTCTGTCGATAAAAAGTTAATACAGTTATTTTGAACGTTTAACAATGAAACAATAGTTGTTCTTGCTCAATTCTTCACAGTAAGGAAAAGTGGAACCCATCTGCATGATTGTATACTCAGTAAAAACAAGTATTCTTAAAAGGCTTTGAGGCATGTCTAGTTTTATGAATATTTAAAGCTTCTGAGAATTTTTTGTGCACGAATTTTTAAGCATTTAGAAACCTAAACTATTCATATAAAAATTGATCTTACAAATCTTACTAGCAAGTACTCTCTACTGAGTCAGAAAAAAGATAGATAGTACTTATCGGTGAATCTTCAAAAATGATTATACTTATACTGATAAGGAAGAAGTGCTTTTTATTATTTGTGCTAGCATAGCACTGTTCAGTTGAAAAACAATAAAAATCTCTCATGTATATCAATTGCTCATAATTTGAAAAGTGTGATACAAACAACTTGATCTAAATCGATGCAAACATGTGTGCATGAAACTACTTAATAAATTAATCGAAATCAATGTTGAATAATTACAGTTCAGTAGTTTATTTTTTTGTAGAATGCATAATAGTAACTTTGTATGATAGCAAAAGTAATTATTCTGGTTAATGTTCTAAGTGTTTTCTTGACATTGTTGAATTTTACTTCCAAGTCAGTGAACGTATAATTTGTAATAGAAAATATTTTGCATAGCAGACTTCACGATCTCAAACGATACTAATAGTCGAATTTTATAAATACTAGGTACTTCAATTAAATAGACGTTCCCAACTAAAAGGTTTATAATGAAATAATAAAGAGAAAAAAAACTAATAAGCTTGTATTAATGATGTGGGTGGTGGTAACGAGAAGAACTATATCTAATCTATAGTCCTAATCTTTTAAAAGTTCCGACTAAAACAATAAGATCTTGAAGAAAAAGACAGTTTTCAAAAGTTTTCTCCTGATCTTACAACTTTTCATGCATCATAACTGAGAGATTAAAGAGCCGATTGAACATGTTTTTGAGACGGTTCTCAAGCTAAAACGCTGTTATCGTAAAAACTTTCAATTATTTCTTTTTCTTTTTATTCATCTATTTTGAGAACTTTCGTACATGGCAAATAGGTATTTATCTTAGTTTTTTTTGCATATAGCATGAGAATGAGAAGAAAAAAGTTTTATAAACATGATATCTTTTTGTCATAAGTCACATCTAGACTCACACTTTACCAAAGACAAGTAACTATATGTCAATTGATCTTTAAATGTTTAGTTCTCTCATGTATGTTGCAAAAAATATATAAAGCGATCGTGCCCATTTTTATTTTACTATTCACGTTCATAGAGATGATGGAAAAGCGAGCAGTTATAATAAGATCCCATGAATAAATTTTGATCAAATATTTCATTAGGTTCGAGTTTGTTTCGATTTTGTCTTTTGATGTCGTAAGTACACAAAATGAAATCATTGAAAAGGTAAAATTTTAAATTTAATATCTAAATCGCTACTGAATATGAATTATACTTGAACAATACTTTCGTTAAGAGACTAGTATATATTGAAAAAAAATAAAAATAAAACCAAAAAGAGTAGTATTGTTTTTATCGATCTATGTTTACATGCTACTTAGGGTTATCCAAAAGTAGTGGTGAAGGTTCTTTTTTTTCTCATAGAAAGTTTGAACAAATTTTCTTTTTTTATGCATAGATAGAGCGTCTTTCGTTCTATCTTTCTATGCTATTTTATTTCTATTAAACTAATATCATAATAATAAAATTTCGATAAGAACTATTTTTGTTGAAAACCAGCTGGTAACATTTAGGTCATAATGGATGTGGTATTTTTGCATTCCACTTTATTATCACATAATATGTTGTATTGAAAAAACAAAATATACCAATAGATGCAGTGTGAAGAGCTCTATAATTCACAAAGAGCAATGATACAAAGATAAGACAAAAAAAACGAAATTCGTTGTTTTTTACCAAAAAAAGTCTTGTTTTCATCACGTCGAAACATGGTAACTCAGACTTTTGTTCATTTTAAAACAAAAAGTATAACTATAAAATAAGCGGTACTTTATAAATTGTAGAGCTTTTCACGCTGCATCTGCTGGTATATTTTATTTTCTTTAATACAACGTATTGAGTAATAATAAAACAGATGCAAAAGTATCCCATTTCTTGTGCCACACTCATTATGATCTAAATGTTACCAGCTGGTTTTCAACAAAAATCGTTCTTATCGAAATTTTATTATTATGATATTAGTTCAATAGTAATAAAATAGCATAGAAAGATAGAACGAAAGACGCTCCATCTATTCATAAAAAAAGAAAATTTGTTCAAGCTTTCTATAAGAAAAAATAGAACCTCCACCACTACTTTTGGATAACCCTAAGTATTTAAGCCTTTCCTACTCATAAGAAGTCGATCTTCATGGAAACCATCAAGGTTCAGATAAATGCATAAAAAGATGGTTCGAAACCTTTTCTATCGAACATAGCATGACATTTTATTTAACATGTCTCTCACTTACTGATTTGCGTAGTCCATAACTTTCAAAGAAACTTCATTGCAAGTAAGAGGCTGTTTTAGTTTAAAACATTATGTCAAAATCCAAGGAACGATAGACCCTTTATAACTTAGTCTTTGTTATTGTGAAATCCGAAAGTACTTTTATGACAATACTACAAGTTACTTGAAGTTTTTCGAGACATTGAACCTGTCTAACTTTTTCTTGCTCTTATAAAGTAGACAATATAAAAAGTCAAGTTTCTGCCATACATTGAATCCTGAATATTCTTTCAAACATGGTCAAATCTCTCCGTACGAATTATATTAGTATACAATCGAGAATTTTACCGGAACGGTTTCACTTGTTTACAGCTACAACCAATCCTAATATATTTCTACTTTTAACTTTCTATATCATGACATAAATATTGAATGAATCATCGCCACAATTGTGTACTAGTGATCTAAATTAGTTAGTTTGAGTTTGGGTCATTCTTGTATTCAATCTTATGATAAGTTCCTCACTAAATCGTTCTAACAGGTAATATGTAAATATAGGCAACAACTATAGAATCAGTGTATATTCGACTTTCACGTCATTCTCAACAGCTATAG